TATTAAAATTATGCTATCAAACACCCTCTAAAAGTCTATGCTCGGTAATCACCTCCGATGACCCCAGTTGCTGCCATTGTGTTCGACAGTCGCCACCGCAAGGTCTTTGGACGCCACCATCATGGTCATTTGCACAGTCACGAACCAACACAAACCCCCATTGGCCTACAATCACCAATAACAAGCACTCAATGGTTTTACACTGCGTTTGTAGTGTGCTCACCTAAACTTCAAGTTTTACATACATACCAAAATGGGGTTAAAATGATGGTGGTTATGTGATGTGAAAGGTTTGGGTGGTATAAATGTAAAAAATAAACTGTGTTAGATATCTAATTACATAGGAATTGAGAGATATGTATGTAAATGACCCCTTAAGAAAATAAGGCGAAAATAGAGTTTCCATATCTTATTCCTTGGAAAGATCACTTATTTACTTGAATCTCAGTGAACTAACTGGAAATTGAAATATATTTTATATTGCTCTTTTCATTTAAATTTTTAATATTTTAAATTGAAATTTTATATTTAATTTTGAAATCAGTGTAAATTATGTTGAAATTGTGTATTTTATTATCTATAAATTCATTTAAAGTTCAATTTGTGTATAAATTATGCATGGTATGAAATGTTTTCATGACTGCATTATGTCATCTATTCATGGTTTCCATACTATTTCAATAAAAGAAGATTTACATACATACCATTTAATTTCTATTTATTTACATATCTAACACCAAAATTTCAATTTTTTACTTTTATACCCCCTTTCCTATGCATGAAAAGTTGTATTTCACTCTTTAAAAGTTAGAATGGGTGATATTTTTGATGTGATGTTAACATATGTAAGCCAATGGATGCATTTTTAATAAATTTAATTTTTTGTTTGTGTTTAATGCTAAATGCAAACAAATTTTGCATTTAGCCTTTTTTGAATTGTGTTAATTTATTAAAAATAAATACTAACATAAATTAATAAAATATATAATAATATTTTATAATCTTAAACTCAAAAAATGTTTTAATATTAAATAGTAATATTTTTCTTAAATGAGTTTTAGAAAATTTGAAATAAAATAAAAATAAAAATAAACTATCAAAAAATTTAATTAAAATATGGAAGTTAAGTTGTTAATATATTTAATTAGTTATAATAAGTAAATTTTGTGTTTATAAAATATAATTATAAAATGATATAAATTAATGTTGAGTTTATAAATTTGTAAGGCATCAACTTCCTATATTTGATGATAAGTTGATGCAACAATTAGAGTCTCTTGTTGAATGTAGAGTGGGTGTTTGTTGTAATTAAGTCTCAAATGAAATCATAGATCGAGCATTTTGCGAGTAGATGGAGAGAAACATTAACTATGAAAGCGACCAAACCGAGCGACTTCAATATACTTTTTTTTAAAATTTTATTGTATTGTCAACTATTTTTCAATAAATTTTAAATTTAATTTCAAAAATTTGTTGTCCAAAATTTGTTACTTCCACTGTGAAAGTTTGGTCAAAATTAAGTTATTTTTCATTTTTAAGATAATTTAAATACAATCCCGTAAATTTAATTTTTATTTTTCTTCAATTATTATTATTATTTTGTTTTTAATAATTAATTCATTAAACTGTTTAAATCTTTATTTAATTTATAACATTTTATAATTATATTTAATAAACTCAATTTACTTATTATAATTAATTAAATATACTAATTTTTAATTTCTCATATTTTATTCTAATTTTTGATATTTTATTTTAATTCTAACATTTTATTTCAAAATTTCTAAAAAAGATATTTTAAAAAAATATTAACATGTAATATAAAATTTTTTGAAGTATAAGATTATAAAATATTATTATGTATTTTATCAAATTCTATTTTTCATATTTATTTTTAATAAGCTAAAATTATTCAAAAAAGATTAAAACTCAAAATTTGTTTAACATTAAACACAAGGAAGTTTTGCTTTCTATTAAACACGCATTGATGCCGTTCGAATTTGCTCCCTTCTCTTAATTACTCTTTAGCCGGCCCCTTTTAACTAATTACAGTTAATTAAGCAGTTAATTAAGTGCCCCACTTGAGAATTTAGCCTTGAAATTATCCATTTCTCTCATGTTGAAATAAAGAGCACATTATGAAAAAAACAATAATAAAAAAGTGGCACAATATAAGAACTGCACACTTATATTGTGCCACGTGATATTAAATATTTGAGAGGGTATGTGTGTAAATATGAAGTTTAGGAGTGTGCTATGTGTGTGAAAGCCCCTTACTTTCATAATGGACTTTCAGTATGCTTCAACATAGAATCTTTCAATCTTTAAAATGCTGACAACACTGAGTTTGACTCGTAGGTATACAACGTCATGGTTCATATTCGACGTGTGTTCGACCATACCTTTACGACTCATTAGTTTCCTCGTCTAGAAACATGTTGCAGAACATGGCTTCAAGTAACTCAATAAGCTTCGGCTTTCGTAGTTTCATTGAGTCAGCTCGCTCTTTGCAAGATTTTTTCGTCTTTCTCTTTAGCTCTCTAACTCACATCTGAGTACAATAAAGTATATGGCGATGAAGTGAGTTTGGTCAGCAGATTTCCTTCTGTGTATTCCCCTCTCATACACAATTCTGATGAAGTCATATATCTAACACCCAAAGCTTGATATTTACAGTATTTATAACACCATGGTATCATAAACCTATGGATGAAAAAGTGTATTTCATGTTTAAAAATATAATGATGTGGTATTTTTGACGTGATATTAAAGAAATGAGAGCTATAATTGTTAATATGAATGTATAGGTGTCGGATATGTAAGAACATAAGAATTGTGTGGTATGCATGTAAATTTCACTAATATTTATACTTCAGTCCTAATTCATTATAATTTCATGTGACTGACCTACAGGTTAACGCTTTCCGCGGTACATTCTGCAGGATGTTTCAACTACTTCATTGCCGATCGATATCCTGATGCGAGACCAACATGGATCGGTGCAGTAATGCCGAACTTTGGAGCAGGAAGTCTGTGGATTAGATACGTGGCGGCAATGTATTGGACGATAACGACTATGACAACGAATGGATATGGTGATTTGCATGCTGAGAATCCAAGAGAAATGCTGTTTGATATTTTCTACATGTTGTTTAATTTGGGAATGAAAGCATACCTCATTGGAAACATGATGAATCTCGTCGTTCATTGGATGAGCCGCACGAGAAACTTTGTATGTTCCCTTCTGCTTCTTACTCGGTTCGCCTTTTTGATCATTGTGGGGAGATTTGATCTTATGATTGTAGAACTAGAAACAAATAACAACGGTTTTTGCAATATTAAGGAATAAGGAAGAAGACAAGTATTTGAGGAAAAACTCGAATGCTAAATAGTTGAGATAATGGTAAAGATGACAAGTACAAGAAGTAAAAACAAGTTAAGAAAAAGGGAAATTTATATATTTAGCACACAATTCCTCTGTATTTACATGTCTCACACCTACACTTTCATATTGACATACATAGTACCATGGTGTTTTAAATCTATGCATCAACAGGTATATTTCACTTTTAAAGTGGTAAGAATGCTAAATTTTATATGCTATTAAAGATTTGAGTGTTATGTGTGTAAATATGAAAGTTTAAGCGTGCGATGTGTAAATAGATAAGAATTGTGTGCTATGTATGTAA